AGACCTTTTTTCCAAATAAGGCCCCATTCACAGGTTCCAGAAGGGGGCTGGACTTCTCAGTCTTAGGGACCACCATCCAGCCTGTACCACTGTCCTTAGTTCTCTGGGACAGTGTCCAGCTTTGCTCTCCTTGTCCTCCTGGCCTAATGCTTAGATGTGCTTTGTAATTCTGGCTGATGAGTGGCTTTATCTGTTTGGTTTGGTGATAAGTCCTGGACAGCCTCCAGTGAGAGAATCAAAATATCCTTCTGGCCAGAGGCAGCTTTCTGGGAACCTAAGTGTCTGCCAGGAGAGATAGGACAACTCCTCTGGCCTAAGTCAAGGTAAGAAGAGATAAAGGCCAAGGGGGGGCCCAGAGCTGGTGGGTGAGCTCGGGAAGGAGGTCCTCAGGACAGGGGTGTGGGGAACATGTGACCCCAGAGGGTCAAGTCCAGGAGGGAGTTCAGGGGATGGAGGAGGGAAAGAGGTGGGGGCCTCCTTGGAAAGGGCCTCAATACCCAGTTGAGGAGCATATAGATGGGCGTCCAGGGAATTGTGAAGGTGTTTGTGACCCAAAGGACAGAGACCAAGATACTTTGTCTTACCTGGTGGTGAGGAGGGCCTGGTGGGGCCAGCTCAGAGACTCCTGTGCTGGGGTGAAAAGGGAGGCAGGGGTGGTCCTGGGGTCTCCCTCTCACCTCCCCCGAGGGCTGGGATAGGGTCTCCACTTGCCCTGGATTTAAAACTGGTGGTTCTGTGTTCTGGAACCCTCAGTTCTGGGCAGACTGGGTTCTTGGCACCTGGGGTGGGGAACCTCTTTTTAGAGTCTCCTGCCGCTAAGGAGAGTGCCTGCTCTTGGGGGTAAGGGGCTTCTCCCATGTCTGGGGCTGAGATTTCCTCACCTCTGAATCTCCCCACAGCGACCAGTGAGCAGTGGGTGCCTTACACAGGCACTGGCAGAGGGAAGAGCAGGCCCTGGTGGGTTCTCAGTGCCTCCAGGGAGACAGGAAAACACCTGTGAGGACATTTGGACAGGGCACTCCAGTGGGTTATGGGCCCAGGGGCCATGCTATCCTCAGCAGTCTCTGGTTACTGGGCTCCCTGCCTTCCTCTGGTCCCTCAGTGCCAAGCTAAGCCACATCTAGGTGGTGGCTGGACTGGGTGGGATAGGGTTGTTTGTTTATATAGAGTTTCAAGGGCTACAGGAATACCACTGCCCTTCCCTGCCCAGCCTGGGGCAGAGGACCTGCTGGGACACTGTGACTCTGAGCCATGCTCCTGTCCTAGGTGGGCAGAGAAGGAAGGTGGGGTCTAGTTTGGGACAGGGCTGGTAGGGGCAGGAGGTGGGACTGGCCCCTTTAGCAGAGGCTGGCCATCCTTCTTGCTGCTGCCCACACCGATACCTCCTTTGTTCTGAGGCTTTCTGCACTGTGGAGCATCTGGCACTTTGTATGAAAGTTTGTGTCTTTACAAAAACTTCAAGGTGGGAATTTTCAGCCTCACTTTATAAGGGGAGAACTGAGACTTGAAGGAATCTTCTTGTCCTGGTAACTCAACCAGGAGGTGGCTCTGCCTCCCTTATCTCTCCCTGAGCTCTGAGTCTTGGGCTGGGCAGTGCCTACAGAGACAGGGCTGCAGAAATGTGTCCAGGGCAAGGCCCACAGTCTCAGCAAGCTGTGCCATCTCATAGCCACATCTGGTCAACCTGAAGAAAAGGGGTGCTGGGTGGCACAGGAGAGTCTTCAAAAGATAGAAAAGCCCTGAGGCCACTTGGGGGGCTGACACAGGGCCAGAGGGTCCCTATTTCCGGTCCTGCTGGATGATCATCTGTGGCCCAGGTTCCAGAGTTGGGCATGGGGGGAGCCGGTAGTGGTGGCTCCTCCCAGGGGCCTTCAGGGCTCAGGTTTCTAACTCTGTGAACCCGCCATTTCCAGGGGTCCCCAGGCTCCCTGCATTGAGGGAGGGTCGAGGGATCAGGGCTCTTTAAACAGAGTCCTGGCCCCTTTCCAGACCTCCTGAACCAGAAAGCCTATTGTTAGACTTTTTTTTTTTTTGCAGTTTTTGGCCAGGGCTGGGTTTGAACCTGCCACATATGGCATATGGGGCTGGCACCTTACTCCTTTGAGCCACAGGTACCATCCTAGACATTTTTCTTTTAAAAATAATGCCATATAAGCACCATTGTAGCTAAGTCTCTCACATATCTGATTATTTCTTTCAAATAAATGCCTTAAGGAGGAATTTCTGATTAAGGATTGTGAATATTTCATGCTCTAGATTTATTGCCAGGTTATCCCCTAGGAAGACTGGGCTACACTTCAAGGAGAGGTCATTTGGGGACACTGGGTGTTTTCTTTTGGGGCCTTGAACAAGTGGCTACTGTGGGGGAGGCTTCGGCCACCAAACGGCAATAGGAGGTGAGGGACAATTTTATGGTGGGAGGTAGTGCCGGGGGTGGGAAGTGGGAGGGAGCCACTGGGACAGAGACAGCACCCCACTTTGCCTGAGGTGACACTGGTCCTGTGTCTGTCAGGCTGGGACAGCACTGGCAAATCCCTGTGGGTTATAAATGACGTGACCTGAGTGACCCTTTGTTGCTGATCTTAAGGGCACAAAGAGCATGGAGGAAGGACCCTGGAGAGGTGAGGCCTGAGGGAGAGACAGGCTGTGGGGCTAGAGAGTACTGTGTGTGAGTCTTGACTCGGCCACCAGCAGGCTGTGTGGTCTTGGGCATGGCACTGGGCCTCTCCCACCTTGGATCCTCAGAAATGGAGCAATGATGTTGGCAGAGTGTGGGCAACAAGGAAGTGTCCTTCCCCTTCTAGTACTGCTGGCTGTAGGGACACTTCCCTGCACTGTGCAGGCATTGAGGAGGAGCAGGGATGGGATTGTGAGACTCCCTCCCCAACACAGACCCAGTGGTGTCTCACATTCTCCTAAGGAGACACAGGACCTCAAGGGCAATGTCGGAGCCAGCCAGAGTGGAGCTGTAGGTACTAGACTGGACTACAGCATGCACAGTTCACTGAGGTCCCAGAGGAATCACATTCATGCAGACAGTGGGGTGGTGGTCGCCAGGGGCTGGGAGGGGTACTTGACTGAGGCTCTGCTTAGGCCATCTGATACCTTGTCGGGCTGCTAACAGTGACAGTGATTTTGGGCCCACTAGGACCAGGAAAGCAGTGTAGCTCTGAAGCCTGGATGCCTATTAGAGCCACCTGGGAGTTTTGACAGCCCCAATGCTCAGGTCACACCCCAGGGCCACTGCATCAGAATCTTGTTTTAAATTCTTTTTAAAAATTGTGGTAAAATATCACTAATATAAAATTTACCATTTTTATCATTTTAAGTATATGATTCAGTGGTATTAAATAAATTCACAGTTCACATGGTTGCACTACCAATCTCCAAAACTTTCTCATCTTCTCCAAATGAAACTCTGTCCCCATTAAACAACTCCCATTGCTCCCTCTCCCCAGCCCCTGGCATCACCCCACTCTGTGTCTATGAATGTGACTCCTCTGGGACCTCAGTGTACTGTACTGTACTGTACTGTATTGTAGTTGTCTTTTTTTTGCAGTTTTTGGCCGGGGCTAGGTTTGAACCCACCACCTCCGGCTGATGGGGCCGGCACCCTACTTCTTTGAGCCACAGATGCCGCCCTGCAGTTATCTTTTATTATTCAGCCCAATGTCCTCAAAGTCCATCCCCATGCAGCACATGTCAGCATTTCCTTCCTTTCTAAGACTGTATGCTATTCCATTGGGTGGATGTACTGCATTTTGTTTGTTGATCCGTCCACAGACACTAGGTAGTTTTCAGGCTTCAGTGGCTTGAAGTTCCAGGAGTTCCCACTGTGCAGCCAACAGCCAGTGGGCTGGGCACAGCCTGGCCTCCTGCTAGGCAGCGTCATTGGTGTCACCACTCCCTTGTACCAGTGGTGCTGTCTGCTGTTATCAAGCCCAAGCACCAGTGCAGGTAACACCCTGCTCCCCGTTCCCTCCCCCCCCAAAAAAAACACCCATCAGGGCCTGCTAGGTCTGCACCCAAGTGGTCCTACCCAATGTCTCTGGGCCCTATGGAGGCCAGCCTCTGCAAGGACATTGAGGGGTGGCTCCTGTGAATTATTGGTTCCCACGTGCATGGCTTTCCCTTACTCCAGTCTGGTGTGTTACAACACAAGGACAGTAAGTAATACCCAGTTGTCGGGGGGCTTGGGCCTCCCGTCTGGTCAATCCTCTGCCTGCTGCATCTTGTACTTCTCTATCTCCAAATCCGTGGGAGGTTCTTCCGAGGGGGTTCTTCACTCCGTGGTGGGAAGAATGGAAGTTGCCAAGGGAATCCATGCTTAGCAACCAAGATCAATACATGATTTGACAGCGGTGCCATATTTGAAATTGGGAGTGTGCAAGGAAAGTTACTCCTTTGTTTATTTGTTCAACACAGTGAGGCAGGCACTGGGCTGTAATCAGATACCAACGTGATCTCCGGCTTCACGGAAGGAATTCTGGGGAGCATTCATCCACCACCACAGGTTGCTGCGACCTCAGAGCCCCTGCCGTGGGCAACGGGTACAATCGCAAGGAACAGATGCAACAGCCACACCTTCGCATCCACCCTCCGGGGGTTCATGGACCCAAGCAGGAAGGGTACAGCGGTACACCAGGGTGGGATTCCAACCCTACTCCGCACCACACGTGGCCCCGCCCACCCGCCGGGGTAACCACGCCCCCTTATCGGGGGCGGGGACAGGCCCAACCAATCAGAACTCCCGAATCGCGCAGTTAGGTTCCGCCCAGTTAAGCGCGAGTCCGGGTGCGCCTTATACAAACCCCAGCGCGGCGGGTGCCTCAGGCAGCAGGCGGCCCAGAGCCGGCGCCCTACGCAGGCGCTAGCGCGCCCTCCCGCGGGGCGGCGAGGCCGGAAGCGAAGACCCGGCGCTCCGCGCGCGGCACCGGAAGCCCGCTTCTGACGCGTCCCCCTGCCCGCGGCGCCAGAAGTGGTGGGAGGCGGGCTGCGGCTGGCCGAGGGCCGGAGCACCCATGGCGGAGGGCGGCGGCCCTGACGGGCGGGCCGGTCTGGGGTCCGCAGGTAACGTGCGCGCGGCCGCTGGGCCGCGGGGCGTGTGGGGACAGCTGGGGCTGGCCCGGGGGCCTGCGGAGGCTCCGCGTCCTTGTCCTGGGATGTCCAGGCCCGCGAGGCAGGCAGGGGCCGCTCCCGGTCGCCGGGGGTCGGGTCTGCACCGCTCGGCCTCGCCTGCACACCCCTCGCACTAGGTTTTCCTCCCTGTGCACTTGTGTTGTAGCTGCCTTCCCGGTGCCTGGTGCGAATTGGATATGACTCCCGCTGTAAACGTAGGGTGCCGGTCATCTTCCCGTTCTGAGCGCACCTATCAGGACAGCCCCCCGGAGGTCCCGCCACCTTCTGCATGTCTAGGGTGGGACAGTGGGAGACCCCTCATCCCTGTCAGACTAGGGAACAGCGATGACGCTGTCACTGACACAGCTTGCACAGGGGCCTGTGGCCCACCAGCAGAAGCAGCTCGCAAGGCTCACACCCACCGCCCAAAGTCATATCACTTAGGGTCTCCACCGGGAAATATTCCTGCCGTGCAAATGTGAATTGGCAGGGGAAGCAGTCAGGAGAGGTCCCCGTGGTGGGATTCCCTCCTTGCCCGATTTTTGAGCTTCTTAGGTTTGTCAAAACCTTCATGTGCTCTGGACTTTACATGCTCATCTGTATCTTTGGAGAGAGTACTCTTCAAAAATTCTATTATTCCTTCTTATTACTCTCTTAAATGTGCAACAAATCTCAAAAGATTTGACTTGAAGGCCCGTGCAAGTAGGGTTGTCATCCATGCATCCCGCCTTCCCTCCATCTGTCCACTCAGCAGTTTGAGGACTCACTCACTTTTGGCTGGACCCTGCTGAGGATACCACAGTGACCAGAACAAATCAGACAAAGCGTATGCCAGATTGGGTTTTGGTTAGCGTTGACTCTGACTTCAGGGACAGCCAGGGCCTTAGAATGTGGGATGCCATGTCACCAGAGGATGAGAGGTAGAATGAGAGGTTCTTAGTTGGAAGGGGACTGGTAGACCCCCTGGTACAGAGATGAGTCCTGTGTGAGAAACTCTGGCTTTACCCTCCGGACAGGGCTCCTTTCTATAACTATGTCCCTGGCTGCTGCTTTGTTACTCAGGATCAGGTCTAGAGGGAGGGGCAACAAAGATTTTCAGTTAAGGCTTAAGTTCTATCAGTGGAGTAATTGTGTTGTCATTGGAGTAGCTATTAGCAAAACACAAAACTTGAAGTTGCCTTTGAATCTGGAGTTGGGGAAGATTCTGCAGCTCTGTTGATCTGGCTCAGGTGTGGGTTGTGTAGAACACAGCGTGTGGGTGTTGGGAGTGGAGGAGGACTCAGCAGAAGTCCCACTGCTCCCACTCACCTGTCAGTCATTCCCCTACACCTCAAGCTGTCCCATTCCTGCTTTGAAATTTTTTTTTTTTGTAGAGACAGAGTCTCACTTTATTGCCCTCAGTAGAGTGCTGTGGCGTCACAGCTCACAGCAACCTCCAACTCCTGGGCTTATGCGATTCTCTTGCCTCAGCCTCCCAAGTAGCTGGGACTACAGGCACCAGCCACAGTTGCAGTTTGGCTGGGGCCAGGTTTGAACCCGCCATCCTCAGTATATGGGGCCAGTGCCCTACTCACTGAGCCACCGGCGCTGCCCGTTGCTTTGAACTTTTTCACCCTATTATAATTGCAACTCTGGGGTAATTACAGTGTAGAATAGTGACTGGAGGTCCGGGGTGGTGGCTTGAAGGGCTGTTTCCAGGCTGTGTATCTGTCTGTTGGTCTGCTACTGGTCTGGGTATGAGATCAGCTTGAGGAACCCTTGTGTCCAGCCCCCAGCCTGTGGCCTTTGTGTCTGACCTCTACCAATAACTGTCAAATCCTAGAGGGCAAGGACATCACTCCCACTGTACCTATAGCCTAGTTTTCTGTATAGGAGGAACTCAAAAGATATTTGATCTGAATGTAAAAAGCAGCTTCAGCATCTGGAAAGATCCTGCTCATGGAGGGGTGTGCTTTATAACTGTGTGCTTGCTCACACACTAGGATAGCATAGCAAGGCAGGGACTTGAATCCAAGCAGCCTGAGTTTATGTTCTTTACTTACACAACTATCTATGTAATTTTTATAAAATTTTTAATCTATTGGAGCTTTATTTCAGGTTATGGTGTGAGGTAGAGAACTCAGGTATTTCCAAGTAAGGCAGTAATTCTATAAATGCCATTTGTTGAATTATTTTTTCCATCTTCACTGATCTCAATCCCCATTTATCACAGACAGACAGACCTTGTTCCACACCCTGCAGTAAAGCGAATATTGCAATAAAGTGAGTGACACGAATTGTTTGGTTTCCCAGTGCACATAAAAGTTATATTTCCACTATGCTGTAGTCCATTAAGTGTGTGATAATAATGTGTCTTAAAAATGTATATACTTCAATTTATTTATTTATTTTTGAGACAGAGCCTCAAGCTGTTGCCCTGGGTAGGGTGCCGTGGCATCACAGCTCACAGCAACCTCTAACTCCTGGGCTCAAGCAAGTCTCTTGCCTCTGCCTCCCAAGTAGCTGGGACCACAGGTGCCTGCCACAACGCCTGGCTATTTCTTTTTGGTTGCAGCCATCATTGTTGTTTCGCGGGCCTGGGCTGGATTCGAACCCGCCACCTTAGGTGTATGTGGCTGGCACCTTAGCCACTTGAGCCACAGGTGCTGAGCCATATACCTCAATTTAAAAATGATATTGCTAGACAGTGCTTATGATTATCTGAGCCTTCAGTAAGTTGTAAGCTTTTGGCAGGTGGAGGGTCTTACCCCCATATTGATGGCTGCGCCTGATCAGGGTGGTGGTGACTAAAGGTAGAGCTGGCTGTGCCAGGTTCTGTCTTTCTTTTTTTTTTTTTTTTGAGACAGAGTCTCAAGCTGTTACCCTGGGTAGAGTGCTATGG